AGTTAGAATTAAAGAATTAATAATTAATAAAATTTGAGATTTTGTTAAAGAAGTTTCAGATTGTTGAAGATCTGCTTCTTTACATGTTATAGAAATTGGTTACCAACTCCCCTGTGAACTTTTGTTGATTAATGTTATCTTAATAAATTGAATTCTTTTGTTTTGTGCAATTTTGCTAAATTTTTCATCTCTTTACTTAGCATTAATTCCCCATTAATACTTCAGAAGGCATAATTGTTAGCATTGAGATTCACAAAATTCATTTTTCTTAATTGAACATGAAATTAGCATGATTCAGCAATGAAATCAGGACATATACAAGATCCTCGAACCTCATTTTTAGAATATCCTATTGAATTAAAAAGATTAGCCTGTAATTTCATAAATTTAGTACAATTATGTGTTGCAATTTCCCAATGCCATTGTGAAAGTATAAGAGGAATCAATGATTTAAGCGTTTTATTGATTTCTTCAAGTATCACATCGAGACCTTGATGTTGATTTAGAAGTCCAGATCGTAAAATTACAATTCTTTTCTGAATTAGATTATGAATTTCAGGTTTTAGTCATAGCATTTGTTCTTCATTGGCAACTTCAATCAATTGATAAATTGGATGCCGTCAGACAGACCAAATAGACGCAAACATTCATCTAGCTGCAGTTCTTAATAAAGGTCTATTCATACGAATACTAATATATTTTAATTGGAATATGAAATCAGTTTGATTTTGAGTCCAATTTAGATAACCTTCAGCAGAAGGATTTTCTTCAGAAATAATATATGGTCATATTAGTTCAGAGAACATCGCATGTCTATATATATCATATATCGCATCTCAAGCCTTATAATAATCTGCGTATTTTTTAAAGAAACAGAGTTGATTTTCAGTTCAATATCCTTGACATTAAGCAAAACTTTTTATATCAATATTCCAATTCAACTCAACAAATGCTTTTAGCATATTTATCTCTTCATAAAGAGCATCTAAAATCAATATAAGCCAAGAAAAGTTTTTTTCATTTTCCATGTATAATGATAAGGTATTCTGTTACAGATAACTACAACCCACTTATGATTCCTATGTTTAATCTTCTCAATATATTCAAGAACCTTTCGGATATTGGTAAGAGAATTTGGATTAATAGCTATTGGATCAGGAACAAACATCTGTAGCATATAAACCCCATTATCTGGAATTGATTGTTGTGTAATACTAGAATGCATGTTACCTTTTTTGGTTTGATTCTTTAAATATGTGTGGGTGAATAATTAATGGCTTTTTAATAATATTTGTAATATTAAATACTTCATTAGACTGTTGATTTATCTTGGTAATTGTTAGTAGTTTGTTATTACAATTAGGACAATCGTGTTTCTTGTTATTAATATTAAAAGTTGGACAACTTGAACACCTTTTCATAAATCCTGTATGACTTTGACATTGTACTAACTTGTCAATTGTATTTGTTTCCCGATTCTTCTTGGTATAAAGCTTGTCTATTAAAGTTGTAATATATTTAATAAGCTCATTATAGATTTCATTTTCCATATCTGAAGTCAAATAAAACAATTCTTCATATTGCTTTTGGGTGAGCTTAGAATACAACCAAGGATTAGTATCAGTTTGAATAGTATTATTTTGATCATAAAAAGCAATAAAACTAGTAACTATATGAAATATTATAGTGTTTTACTCACAATATAAATAGTTCTTTTGACCTTTTTGTTCATTATCAAAAGCCAGAAATAATAAACCTTCTGAAAGTAATTATTGTTCACTAGCTAGATTTTCTAACCAATTAGTAAACTTTATGTAACTAACAAAACTGATGATGTGATTATCAATATTAATAATAGTTTTAGATTTTGCTATTGAATATTTAATTGTAGAAGCAACAAGATTAATAGCTGAAACATATTTCAAATTCCTTGCCATATAAATAGCATCAACAGCTACTGCACATTTAAAAAGCTTTTCATTTTCAAGTTAATTTTCATTTTCATTGCATACAAAAGATTCTATAAATTTTACAATAATTGGATTTCGTTTAGAAAGCCATTCTGATGTATAATATCCTAAAAGCCCATCTAGACTAAATCATTCTATATTATTCATTAAACTAATTATATCATTATATAGGTTTTTACGTTCTTTTTAACGATTTCAACTATAGAATTAATTCTCATCTCTTGATTATCAAATCTAGTATTCTATTTTTCTTTTAATTCTCTATTTTAAGTCCTAATTGAACAATCTTTTACTTATATTCCTTTATAAGATTAACATATATTATTCATTGATATTCAGAATCAGCTAATACCTTTTTTATATTTAATAACTCTAATATAAGATCTGCATAATGATAATGTTGTTATGATATAATATCTGCATTTTCTTCAATGAGTTTTAATTATTTTGCTTGATTATTTTCTTCAAAATCATCTTCTGCTTTTAACTTTTTAAGAAAAGTATCAGTGGAAATAATCTGATTTAAAGATAGGCATTATAATTAAGAAGTTGCAACTTAGTATGTTGCAACTCCTTGTAAATTTATTTTAATATAAAAATTCATAAATAGTTGCAACTCAAAGTGTTGCAACTTAAGTTGCAACTAGATAAAAATTTTAAAAATAATTATGGGAACTATCTTTAATTTGATTGTAATATCTCTCCCAAATTGAATAATTTTTCAAAACATTATATAATAAAAGCAATTCAGGAAAATATTTAGCAAAAATTACTTAGTCTACTACTGCATTTGCTAACGCATGTCTCCACTTTTGTTTCTGCTCAAGTTTACATGGTATTAGCTGATTTTCTGAATATTTAGCATAGAACCCTTCAAATAAGCATGGTAACATTCTAGCAGACGGTTTATTTGTCATTTCTAAAGATTAATTTTTGACAATTTCAAGTTAGTATTATTCTTTATATTACTAAGGAAAGCTTTAGGAATGAAGGTGGATTATTGAAGCATATATTTGAAAGTATATAATCATATATTTATTATATAAACGCTAATTAATATATTTTTATTTTTTGGATTAATGAAAAGTATTACAAGTTTTAATCAATAGCCAATCAAATTTTTAAAACATGACTGCCGATTATTCTAGAATGGATTTTTGTTTTTAGTAAGATCCCAGACTGAAATGCATTATACAAAGGGTATTTATATAATGCATGTTCATATACTTAAATTTATTAAACGTAATATGAATTTTAGTTTAATAAATTCGGTATAGTAAGTTTTTTTTATACAAATCTAAGTGCTTTTTGATTATCACTCAACTTACCATATTCTTTCTCAAAGGACTCCTTCAGAAAATATGGAAACATCGATACCAACTGATGATAGACAAAGAAAGATCTTTGAAAATTACAAAAAAGGTTAAATTCAAGAAAAACGTTGCATTTACGCTGGTTTACTCAACTTATAATTATGTATCTAGAAAGCATGGATTCACATAGCAAACAAATATGATAACTCATTTACAGATTTTTAGATAGGCACTGACTCTTTTTTTTTCTTTTTTTGGTGATAACAGTGGTCATTAGATATACATTTAGTGGGTCTGTTAGAGGAAAAAAATGATAATTAGTCGATTCAAACGGGTTTGTAATATAATCATAATCATTAGGAATAGCTAGTACTTTTTCTTTGTTTTATTTTTAGTTTCACTCTATGTATTTCTTTTTATAAATAATCAATGCCATATTATTAAAAAAAAGTTTTTTTTATAATGAAAAAACTTTTTCTCTCCCTATTGGTTTTATCCAAGAATTTTTACTTAAAAAAAGTGCCTGTTCAAATGCGGCTATGGCTTAGCTTGTAAATAAAACAAAAAACTTCTCTTTTTAAAAATTTTCTTCTTTTTATTTCCCCAATCCCTACCCAAATAAAAATTGCTGTTGAAGTCTAAACTGTATTGTTTTTTGTTAAAATATTTTTCTTTGCCTCTCTTCGGTATATTTTTTCTCATTTTTTCTATTTCAAAAAAAATTGCTTACAAAAGTGAGCATCAAAGGGTATCCCAACCAGTGATCAGAATCAACATACTTTGGACAAAAATTCCACATGATAACACTTCCCTTCCATTTCTAAATAATAACACTCTCTTTAATTGGTTAAAAACCTTTTGTGCAGATTCTGACATATAATAATCATGGAATACTACATGATATTTTTCTAGAATAAAATGACAGTATATTGATTACTATTTAGGCAAATCTTATGATACTATTTCATAAACCCTGCAGCTCACTTTATAATTATACGAGTTTGAAGAGCCTCTATTGGAACTTAGTAGTTTGGGCGCTACTGTGACAGGTGGTCACTGTAATCTGGAATTGACTAGACATTTTAGCTAGTAACTTAGTCAAGTCTCCTTTAAGTTGCTTCTTTTTATAAATTCTTTAGCATAAATGATTAGGTTTCATAGTTAATTCTTGAAATATATGAGCCATTAGTTGAAGGGTTATGTGATTATTTTTTTTTGTATTTTTAGAAATTTACTTTAGAAAAAAAATAACAAAATAGTATTGATCATGGTTAAATTTCCATCCCTTGTTAATAATGGTAATCATTATACACACATGTAGTGAATCTGTTGGAGGGGAGTAACAATATCCAGTTGACTCAAACAGACTTTAAAATTAGTTATGGGTGTAGTTAATCATTTATATATTAGTATTTGATTTTACTTTCATTGTATTATTTTTTTGTATAAATTAATAAAATGATCTAGCAGTACCAAATCGTTAAACTTAAAAAAAAGGTTTTTTTTATTTAAAAATTTGTAGATCTGTTATATCATGAAATTCGTTGTATCAAAATTCGCTATAGAAAGAGTCAACTGTACCTTATAAAATAGCCTGAAGCTTAAACTTTTTTTGATATTAAAGCTATTTCAGTGGTTTGATTCTTCTATAAGGATATTATTTGTTATCATAGATATTTTAAAGAATTGCTGACAGATTTGAAAACCTATTTTGTAAATGAGCCTTTACAAGGATTATACTAAATATCTAGAAGTTCATTATACTCTATCTTCAGCATATCATTCCCAAGCTAATGGGTTGACAGAAAGGTTTAATTAGATCTTATATAAATTCTTAGCAAAATATTCTAATGAAAATGTCAATAATTGGGATATCTGTTTACCTTTCACTCTATTTGCTTATAGGACTATAAGGCAGAATACTACAAAATATAAGCCTTTCTTCCTCATGTATGGATAAGATGCCACTTTTATTATTAAATTCAATATTCTACTTAAGCCTTTATACTATTCAATTTAAGATTTTAAAACTATGTGTCAATATCACATTGATAAGTTACAAGAAAATTTTGTTGATTCACAGACCAAAGTAAGGCAAATTATTAGTCAATCATAAGAAAAATAAAAAAGTTCATATAATCAGAAAGTTAAGCCACATGCATACCATATTGGTGATCTTATCCTATTACAAAACTTCTAAGCTAAAAAATTAGATGATAAGTGGCTTGGATCCTATTATGTACATGATACTTGATTTAATGAAATTATCAAACTTAGAATAATCTTTGGGAATACTAGAAGAAAATAGGTAAATGCCAATTAATTAATACTATATAACTAATAGTAAATCACTTAAAGAAAAAGATTTGCAATAGAGTCATACATAAAAAAAAATTTTGGATAGTTTCCTTTTAGAAACCTATTATATGAGAGAACACTGTAAAAAAGATCCTTAATATATGAAAAGTCTGAAGTCATTTACGTGGATTAGTCACTCAATACTACTTCGTTTGTATTCTTAGATTATATCATGTTTTAGAAGAAGTTGGATTAACACCCATATACTCCTCCCAGATTTGCAACTTGAGTATGATTTTTTAGTTAATACGAGAAGAAATATAGCAATTAATTCTTGAGATTTGGGTTTCTCCTTCTTTTAAGACAAAGCTCGAAACTTTAGAAGGAGGTCATATGAGGCCTTTGCAATAGAAAGGGGGGAAACTGCTGTGAAAAATTAATTTTACTTTATATGCCAAATATGATTTTTATGCTGAAATATGTTCAAATTTAGCATTAACTCGCTTTTATTTTTTTGGCTGTTTCCCCCCTTTTTATTGTAAAGGCCCCATATCATCCTTGAATTTTGATTACGTTAAAATTAAATCACTGGCTATGATGATCAATATATGTTAATTCTGATAGATCTGTTGGCATTAACATTTCAGACCTTTAGGACAATACGAGATTCCTTGGTAAGATGAAAGATATATGTCAAAATGATTATATTTAACATCAGGGATTAAATAATTAGTAATTCTGTCATTTAAGCTGCAAGTACTAAAGAATGTCATAGCAAAGCCATAAAAATGAATTTATAATATAAAAAGCTTTATTTTGCTTTTAGTCAATGACAAGATTTGAATATTTTATTTTAGATAGTTCTTTTCTTTTTGGATTAATTATAGAGTACTGGCAGAAGTAGTAATTGTATATTTATTTGTATTTTTTTATCATTTATAATAAAACTATTTCCTTTATTTTATTTAATAAAAATTTTATTATTTTATTCACTAAAATTGATCTACATGCATGCTATTTTTGTTATATTATTATTGCCTATACTAAACTATAAAACTATTTTAAATTACCTTTCTTATACAAATAAGAGATAAAAATAGCATATTAGTCATGAATATTCAAATTTATAATTGCTGCTCCTTTGTGTTATTATACTTTTTAATAGTTTTTAATATGGTTAAAAATATAATGAGAATATCTTCTAATTAATATAAACAATTATTAGTGATTATTTTCTTTATAAATAAATGCAAGGAAATTCGTTATTATTTTTCTTTATATATTTTTTTATTAATATTTTTTTTTTGATTTTTAGGATTATTTCTCTTTTTTTTAGATTTAAGATAAATCTTGCAAAATATATATTTTTTTTAATTTTAAGATAGTTACTTTTCTTCAAATTATAAGATAAGTCTTGTGAGTAAGGGTTCATTATTTTCTTTTTTGTATAATATATTTTTTTGATTTTTAGAATTATTTTTTTTTTTAGACTATAAAATAAGTCTTACAGATGTGAAAATGGAATTTAATTAATAAAATGAATTGCTATATATTATCTTATGAGAATTTTAAGTTTTTAAAGATTCAGGATCTTCTGTATCTCTTAGTTTGAATATATTGATTATTCAAGCATTTTAATATACCTTGAAGATTATTTTCATTTATTTGATTAATAAAAAGATAATTATAAAATTTATTTAATTAATTATTCTTTACATATAAAACAATTAACTTATAAAACTTATATTATATAATAAATCATAAAAATCTTGTGTATCCTGTTTTACAATTAATTTTAACTCAAAGTAAATAATAAAGCACTGGTCAAAACCAAAAAAATCGGACATGTGATAAATTATCTATCAATCATCCGTCAATCAGATATAATCATCAATCAGCCAAAAATCAACCTAAATCAACCTGTCTGATTTATGGTCGATTGGAGTTAAGCCAAACTTTCAATTCTGATTGGTTCAATCAGATAATGCAAAAATTGTCTGATTGGAAACTTCGTCCCAAAAGAATAATAGAAATTGTTCTTAAGAGAAGATATAAATTGTTTCTAAGAAATGATAAAAATAATCGTTCCTTTTGAGATGATACATTATCGTTCAAGAAGAACAATTTTAAAAAATTATTCCAAAGGGACAATAAATCTATTATTTTAATAAGAACAATCAAAAAATCATTCTAAAGGAACGATACATCATCGTTCTTATTAAATGATCAAAAAAATCATCCCAAAGGGACGATACATCATTATTCATTAAGAACGATTTAAAAAATCATCCTAAAGGAATGATACATCATTATTCATTAAGAACGATCAAAAAAATTGTCCCTTTAGAACGATACATCATCGTTCTTATTGAACAATCAAATAAATCATCCCAAAGAAACGATACATAATCGTTTATTAAGAACGATTTAAAAAATCATTCTAAATGGACGATAGATCATCATTTTTATTGAACAATCAAAAAAATTGTCTCAAAGGAACGATACATTATCGTTCTTATTGAACAATCAAAAAAATCATCTCAAAGGAACGATACATCATCATTCTTATTAAACGATTCAACATTGTTCCTTTTGAAATGATTATCATTCTTATTGAACAATAAAAATCATTCCTTTTGGAATGATGATCGTTCACTAAGAACGATTCAACATCATTTATTAAGAACGATTCAATATCGTTCATTAAGAACGATTCAATATCATTCATTAAGAACGATTCAATATCATTTATTAAGAATGATTCAATATTATTCCTTTTAGAATGATGATCATTCGATTTGAATGATTTATCATTCCAATCAGATGATACAAAATCGTTCAAATCAATATCATCATCCTATAAGGGACGATACAAATCATTCATTAGAAAGAATGTTTCAATTGGACAATACAAAAATTATCCAATTGGCTAGAAAATTTTCGGATTAATCTGAAAAAAAATTTTCCTTTTTTTTTAACCCTTTCCTTTCTTTTTTCTGTATTTTTTTTCTTATTTTGAAGATTTTTACCATTTTTTTTAAGGAAAATTCTCATTTCAGAAATGTGTAAATCATTCTTTGGGTGAAAATTTACTATTTTCCTTATTTTTTCTTTTTTTTTTTAGGAAAATTTTCACTTTAAAAATAAGTAAATCGGAAACAAGTTTTTGGGTAGATTTTTCTTTCTTTTTCTTGTTTTTGTAGGAAAATTCTTATTTGGAAATAAGATAACGATAAGTAAATTGGAAGCAAGTTTTGGATGGATTTTTTATTCTAGATTTCTTTTCTTTTTAAAAAATTTCTTACTTTTGAAAATAAGAAATGTAAATCAGAAGTGACTTTTAGGTAGATTTTCCCTTCTTTTTCTTTTTTTTAGGAAAATTATCATCTTGGAATTAAGTTAAGCAAATTGTTGGTGACTTTTTAAGAAATTTCACATTTTGGTAAGTAAATTGAAGGTAAAGCTTCGCATGAGCCGGCTCGAGCTGGCTCACCATCAGCTCGAGCTGAGCCAAATTATTTCAGCTCATGAGCTGGCTCAGCTCGAGTCCAAAATGTGGCAAGCTGAGCCAGTTCGCAAGCCAAACAAGCCGGCTCATATGGCTTATATTATTAACAAAAATCTGAAAAAAAATTTCAGAGTAATTGAAAAGTTCAGGAAAGCGATTTCCTTCAAGAGAATTGTCTCTGAAATAGTTTCCTTCAAGAGAAACGTCTCCAAATCGATACTCTTGAAACGAAAACGCTTTCAGAACGTTTTTCTTTAAGAAATTCGCTTCCAGAGCGTTATTCTTTAAGAATTTCACTCCAGGAGTTTTTTTCTTTAAGAATTATGCTCCCAAAACGTCGTTCTTTAAAAAATTCTCTTCTTGAGCATTTTTCTTTAAGAAATTCACTTCCAGAACGCTTTTCTTTAAGAATTTCGCTTCCAGAGCGCTTTTCTTTAAAAATTTCGCTTCTGGAGCATTGTTTTTTAAGAAATTCGCTTCCGGAGCATTTTTTCTTTAAGAATTACACTCCTGGAGCATTTTTCTTAAAGAATTACGCTCCCAGAGCGTTTTTTTAGGAAATTTGCTTCTGGAGCATTTTTCTTTAAAAAATACACTACCAAAGCGTTTTTCTTTAAGAAATATGCTACCAAAGCATTTTTCTATAAGAACTACGCTTCTGGAACGTTTTTCTATAAGAATTACGCTTCTGGAACGTTTTTCTTTAAAAAATACGCTACCAAAGCATTTTTCTATAAGAACTACGCTTCTGGAATGTTTTTCTTTAAGAAATACGCTACTGAAGCATTTTTTTATATGAACTACGCTTCCAGAACGTTTTTCTTAAAGAAATACGTTACCGAAGCGTTTTTCTTTAAGAATTTCACTTCCGGAACATTTTCTTTTAAGAAATTCGCTTCCGGAGCATTAATAATATAAATTGACTTATAGTTGATGCAGATTACAAAATTTATATTTATTTAGTTTATTTAATAAATCAAATTTTATTATTTGCAAAACAATAATTAAAAAATTCTTAAAAATAATAAAAGTATATATAAATAATATAAAATAAAA